AGCAAGCAAAATCGATGTTTTTTTCTGATGTGACTAGATCACGTGAACAAGTTAATGAGCAAAGTTTACGGTTATTCGCGAACACGGCACCCTCACCCACCGATGCCTGCAGATTTCAACAGAAGTTTATTTTATCTTTGTAAGCCTGGTAGTACCACCTTTTCCACACTCTCCCCATGCACAACACAAGGCAAGTGCCAATAAATTCTCCAACCGAAGAGGAAAGATTATCACGCATTCACTACAGGGAAAGTTCACTGTTCCAACCTGTAAACCATTAAGTAGGCAAAATAGATGTGCGCGTACTTTCCAGAGGTGCATGCGCATGATGGCACCTGGCAATCACTGCACCGAACGTGGACACGCGAAATCACCGGGTCGTATAGACTTCACAAGTTATCGGGTACTAGTCTCGCTATAGAACACAATAACGGTATAACGTTCACGGAATATGCCCACCTAATTCAGCCATTAGATAGTTTCATGTGTGAGTGACCCTTTCAGATACCAACGCAAAAGGACTTGAGTTCTAGGGACATATGAGTCAGTTTCTTTAGATCGACCTATAGAAATAAGCCTAGAAGGGGTCGTCCGTTTGTATAAAATTTCATAAGACTCTCACGAAAGTCAACGTTAGCTTGAGCTATTTGGCGATACTGAAATGCATTTGGAACTTCGTTGCCGCCCATCCATCACGGTCAAAAGCTGGAGTTCCGGGCTAGCATCACGAAAGCGATTTGTCAAATTTCACGCAGTGATTGGAACGGTGAAGTCTCCAGTGCCAAAAATAGAGGATGAGGGGAATAGTGGGAGTTTCCGCAACCGAAACACGTATGAAATGCAAAGAAACAACTGAAGTTTTGGTAGGGTTTTAGGGCCTTAATATTGGACACAGATAATTCCGTTTGTAGTACAAAGGGCAAACAAACAATTAGTGAGTATTAAAACGACGAGCAGTTTGTATTCACATGACTGTCAGTCGAACGGTTCTCCTTGTGTCCAGTGTGCGGTGGTGAAGTAATAGTGGTATGCTCACCTACCATTTTATATGTCTGGGATTCAGTACCTGGGACGGCCAGGAATATGCACCGCTGATGAGGTCTGATAAGAGTGAAGCACGAATCCAGTGCTTCTCATCTCTTTTATAGCCATCACAAAAATTAGACCACATAAAAATTGGGACTGACCGAAGGATGTTCATTTGAATGCAGAATCTAAAAGTCCAGCAACCAACTACAAATAATTACCCTGTCAAGCTGTCTGCTTTTTTTTCTGTGGGAAAAGTTGATTAAACGGTTGAGTAATTACTATACCAGTATCCTCAGCCACTAGAGATTTTAAACTAACATGGACTGTGTGGCTACCCAGATTTTGTGCGCGTCTACCTTTTGTGATATCTTCCGGTCATCATCAGCCGTTAGCGTACTACGTTGTCCGATATGCACTACAGCTTGCGTGACATGTGCTGAGTCACGCTTTCCAACCTGTTCGTTCGCGCTGTTGCCATCCGGTTCAGCCTTGATATTTCTATCAGGCAGTCCGTGAGTTGTGCATATATCGTATTGCCGGCATATGCAACAAGTTCGGTATTACGCTCCAACGGCCAAATATTATTATTTCTCTCACTGGATCAGGAAACTTCTCTTACAATAGACTAAGTTATCGTCTAGGAAGAGAAACATTAAAGTATCTGGTAATTTCTTCATGGAATCGCAGGAGACTGATAACCATTGGTTAATCACTGAATAAGATAAATATCTAAGGGAAGGGAGCATTTCAAATTGCTGTGCAAATAGTAAATCAACTTCAAGTTCAGCTGTTCCGAGTGGGCCCCTATATACACCAGAAATTTTAGTTGAGCAAGACCTAAGGGACCTATAAAAAACTGGCACCGGTTTGCCTTGTTGCTTGATAATTATAATAACTTCATAACCGAGTTTGAAAAATCGTATATTCAGACAACCTATTCTACTGCTTTTTTCATAGAATTGTTCTCAGTATTCACGTCTCTTTAAAATCGATCGTTTTATTCGACAAACCCCATTTTTCGCGGAACAGCGGACGAAATCAGTAATAAGTGAGTGAAGTTCAGATAACAAGCGGTGCAGGACCAGCTTTGCAGGCGAAGCTAGTCAAACACTTTCGCGGCATTTGCCACAAAAGAGATGCCTAACTGAGAAAGCACACGGAAGCCTGCGCCCGAGTGATTAAGTTGAACCACGCTTTTGGGTATCAACTGCTAATAGCAGTTGTTAGAACCCTTCCAATAGCCCGAAATCCATTCAAAACTACATAAAACCTGCATATCAGCATCTTTGGCCTGAGTAGATGTACTTTCCTAATTCGAAAAGTAAGATAGCCTCAGCGTCACGTGTTACTCAGTCTGCCGATTTGTGGCACTATTCACACCAAATGTACTGCTTCAGCTTGGTCGGAATTTAAAATATCGAGGTTGTTTCTAAGATTCCATTCGCAAGTTTGATGGACACTTCTCGGCTGTTCACCATTAGTGTGGCTCTTTTGTGAACTTATCGGGTTAGCATGGTCCTAGTGAATCTCATTTCGTACCTGAACATCAGGTTGGACATATGCGAATCCGAATAATCATTTGTCAACTAACGTTACTATGGCATTCGAACGGGATCCCCGCTTGCGCTATTCTTCGTCCGAGAACGTTGCACAAAGTCCACCTTATGTTTCGGTTGTGTTGCTACTAATGAACACGGAAGGATTGTTACTTCCTGCAGAAAGTGGATACCTATATGGTGCATGCAGTGTGAATCTGCAAGTTGCCAACCACATCACGAAATTTCTTACAGGAATGGATGGGACAAATTCTATGTGTGTGCCTCAGTTAATATGAGCTTTTGTAACAATAGACACCTCGAAGTTGCGGTTCTCGTCACATAGTTTGAGCGAAACCAGGAAACATGTCTTGTAATTTTTGTGAGCGGGTGAAAGAAACGTTTTTTTCTAAAGATGCATCATCCAGATACCAATATTCCTTCTGGTGGTGGGTGGATGAATGACCGCTTACTTAGAAGACAAGTATGGGAACACTGTTTGCATTTTGAAGCAACCAACAACTCTGGGAACTCGCACAAACAATTTCAGACTAATTAGTGAAGAAACTGAGATTGCCCAGGGAACTGATACATATTTCGGTTGTTACCCAACTGATCCAATGTCTGGATGTTTTTATGACATTTTCACAGCTTTCGCTCCGAAGGCAGAGGGGGATGCGGTTTGACGAAATGAGAGAGGAGATGAAATAAGTCAATGCCTGCAATCCAGACAGTGACAAATTGAACCAGGCTAGTTTCTAGAATCTACCAATTCTGTTTATGCATTCGTTTTATCTTTTCCGTCGCTACTATGAACCTGCATCGACCGGTTTAGTGACATTTTCCTCCGTGTGTTGTGCTATTATTTTGTGATGTACGTCCTTAATGTCACTCGCCTAAATCAGACGGATCGTTGTATAGCGTATATAGTGGATTGATGTAAAAATACTACGTACTTCTCTCCTGTAAGAAACATACCAAACGAACGAATACTCAACAACATCCGGCACTGTTTGCAAACGGCTCAAAAACACGGTTTTTCTTATCTGTTCAACCCAGTCCGTTGATGTGATGTGATCAATCTTCTCTGATCCCCCCAAGGAATTATGCGACATTTAAGGCTCGGCATGTGAAACGACCGCGTTAAAGACCGATTACTGGACAGGCTGTTGACACCGCATGCCACACACACTCGTGGAATTCAGCAAGTAATTCCTCTTATTCACTCAAAAGATGCATATATTCAGCGTTGCTAGTGAATTCACGAGAGATTAGACTGAGAGCCAGTGAACGTGTTGCTCCTCAATGGCATCGACCCCTCGATGCAACCATTCATGGGAAGCGGACAAATTCAGATGGTTATTTGGACCTTGAGGCAGCACAGCTTCCATGCCTCACATGCGATGCGGTGGCGTTCTGAGTCACACACACACACACACACACGCACACACACACTGCATGCATCAATTCAGGTGCCAGAGCTAGCCCGATTAGTAAAATAGGCCTGCAATACAACAACATTTTGAAAAAGGTTGCCTCAAGTTTGTCACTATCACATCCAAGATCCACATTAGCCTATGCAAACCTTAGGTGAAGCTGTTCACTAGCCGTACAGCAAGGTGATTGCGCTACTTTTTGAATGCTGTTTTACAAATATAACATTCGCACGGTCAGTCATTAGGATAACATCTTAGGAAGACGAAAACCAGGTCAGTTTTCCAATGACTGCGATCATAAGCCTAGTTCTTAGGCACAATAATTGGGATAAACATCAAGG